GGTGAGGGGAAGGCAAGGGATTTATCATGCAGACTGCCCCTTCTTCCTTTGGGAGATGGAGAAGGTCCACGTGACAGATGATCTTACTGGTGCTTGACCAGAAAATTACAGACTGGTGGGTTAAGATTGTGTTTCTGAGACGGTCGAGACTGCTTTCGGGTCAGGCACCGAGTGTCATGAGCTTTAGCACAAGCGACACCTTTCTGGGCCTGTGATTTTTCTTTAACACCGGAATACTTTGATTATTTCCAAACCAAATCCTATTTCCTACAAATACTTTAAATAATATACAGAGATATAAGACATGGGACATAATCTTCAGAGAACTGTAATATATTAAATTACCAAAGTTCAATATTCACCATATTACATCCTTGATTCCAGGTTACCACTGAGCTATTTGGCAGTGATAAATAGTATACGTTCTAGTATTTTGTAGTTATTTTAGCCCACTTTTTTTTATAATCTAGTGGCCAAATAAAGTTCACTGAAAGTTCACTGAGAGAGATTATGAATGGTATAAGAAATATCTAGGTTTTAAAATCCATATTATTAGTGTATATATTCCCTCGTCACATCTACTGTTCTTGAGTTTCCCTAGTTTGCTTACAGTACGTCATCTAGTTTAATCAATTGCTTGCTTTAATATAACTACTCTTCATTACATGTCCAGATTTAAAAAAAAAAAACTGTCATGTACATAAAAAAAAACCTGTCATGTACATGAAAAAAAAACTGTCATGTACATTAAAAAAAACTGTCACGTACATGAAAAAAGTCTGTAAAACTGAGTAGTAATAACAGCACGTGCATGTACTGCAGACGGGTTTGGCGTTATCGAGTTTATAAGATGAAATTATCTTTGAAGATTAGTAAGCTTTAATGATTTGGGATCTTTTAATTTGGGATCTCATGCCAATACCCAATAAATGGCTATCGAAAGAATGAAGAGATTGCGCATGGTTCCCTCTTGGTTGAGCAGCCACAACTGACAACTTCTAAATTCCTCCTTTGACCAAAGTTCTGACCTCAGGAATATCACTGACATCTACACCAGTCTTCCATGTAACTGCTTCCAAAAATGAAAATCGAGCATAGCTATCACCCAACTTAGATATTCACGTTTTTTTAGGCTAAGACTTCAAAAGAATTGTCATGACGATCATATTTCTCCCCCAGAATCACTAGTTACTTAATGGACTTATTCCATAAAGATGTAAATACTGATTACACAGAAAAATTGGAAAGATTCGCAGATCAGGAAGCCATCATTTTTAGTACAGACTCCAGCTGATATACTAATAAGGGTTAACAAATAGTGACAGCGAGAGATACCAGTTCACTATGCTCTGTTTAGATGAAGGATACACTTAATTAAAGTCTCCTGTTAGGACCATGGGCAGCTACACACCTCATAAAATCTATTCACTTATTCTAATTCGTCAAGGTTCCTCAAAGTTCCACCCATAATTAGACAAAGCACTGCATGTTCTGACAAGTTTAGAACATAGCAGGTTCCAATTCACCATGCTCGGGATAGAACTGATACTTTTCAAACGATTCGAGATCCCACTAGCCTTTTGTTTTATTACAATCCTGTTCTCCCATCCTTTGCTAATGCAGCTGATTTTTAAAAACAAAATTCACATGCTACAATACAGTTAGCCTTGTTAAACTTCATCTCATTTTTTCATTTTATTGTTCTATTAGAAACATTTCATAAGCTGGTCATCGTTTTAGCAACCCCAGCCTTTCTGTCATCCACAATGTCACAGCGTTTCTGCTGTGTCTTTATTCAAGTCCTTTGTAAGATCATTAGGCTCAAGTCAGAGAATAGACGCCTATAAGAACACCAGGAGAGATCCCTGTCCAGGTCGACATCTGTTTTCAATAATTCAATCGTTTTATCATTCACGTGTATTTATTAAAGAATATTCAATTAAGGAATATTCACCGTATGCAGGCATTGAGAATACAGCAGCTAACGATGCAGACATTGTCTCTGACTCATCGTGCTTACACTGGTCGATAAGCAAGTGAAACAATTAAAATAAAGTGTGATAAAATCATTATGGGATACGTAAAACGAGAGTCTGTCGCTAAAGGGGCAACCTGGTCTAAGACATCTAAAATGAATATTCTTCAGTATGCTGGTTTGTCCACGCAAAAACGTGCATACTTCATCGAGCCATCTTGCTCCTTCATTCCACAAGGGTATCGTAGGAAGCAATCGCAAGTGCTCTACTTAAACCAAGAGACGCTCTATCTAGAATCATGCCTGGCACATAATAGACTCATTTTTTATGTGTTAGTTGAAGACCTTCTCCAGGAATGCAAAACTCAAGCTGAACTGAGACACTCAAAAATTATATATTATATGTATATTTTTTTAAATTTTCGACAATCCGTTTTAGAACTGCCACACTTAGCCAGTCATTGACAGCACGGCTTAAAGCTTAAACAATTACTTAATGCACATTAATCTGTAGCGGTGCGTCTCAAACTTTAGATATGAATCACTTGGGGATTTTGTTACAATGCAGATTCAAGAGATGTTCAGTAGAGTCAAGGATTGAAGCACTTCTAACAAGATCCCGGTGGTACCAGCGCTGCTGGTCAGCGGAACACACTTTCAGTAGAGAAGATGGGTAGAATTCTCCTTCCCAGTCCTTGACAACTGGGATAACTTCTGTCTATC